TGAGAAGCCGTGTTGGCCTCGTGGGTTGCCTTCTACCACAGTGCTGCTGTCTCTTGAAAAAAAACCAACCCCAAAACTGGCACCCACTCAAGCCATGGCCATTTTCACGGCACTTGTCTTTTCTCCCCTCAAAACTCCTTCCTCAAGCTGGGGTCTGCTCACAGCGCCTCCCGGCCCCTTTTGTAAGGCTGTAAAGGCACAACCAACCCTGTTAATTTTAAAACACTTTAAAGCAGTTAAACAGTTTTCCTTTTGCTGGAAAAAAAACCAACCCTGACACTGCTTTTGAAATAAAGCTGTTAAGGGAAGGGTCAGGCCAATTCTTAGCATGCAAAATGCCACAGAAGACGTCAAGGAGAGAGAGAGATGGAGGAGTTACAAGGCTGATGGCTTGCAAAAAGCCTGGCTGACCTTGCAGCTGCCCTTCTAAAAGGGATCTCACCCCTCTTCAATGTGCCTGTTGTACCCCATCCCCAGCAGTGCCACCAATACTCATCAAATTCCGATGACCTGGTTCGGTGAGCTAAAACCACTGAGAACTAATTTGTTTTTCCTTCTGCTGCTGCTAAGGGCTGAGTTTTCTACCAGTTTAACTCCTCAACTCCATCTCACTTAGACTGCCAGGTGACAGGCAGTGTCAGTTCAAGGGAAGCAAGAGCAGCGTGCAGCCAGGGGAAAGGGGACACTTTTTTTGGCAGCTAGCTGCGATGTCAAACCAGACCCCCAGGTCTCTGATGGCTAAGGAGACTAAAGACATGGTAGAGAGGGCAAAGGAGAGACAGGAAAAGCGTGAAATCAAACCAGACCAAGGATAAAGAGAATACGCATACTAGATGCAAAGCAGGGGCTGGACTGCGAGTGCTGATCGTGGGAACAGATGGAGAGATAGAGAGAGAAATGACACCCATTACACTCAAAGTCATACGTGTGAGAGAGGGGGAGAGGGGAGGGCAGAGACAGCGTGCGGTGGGAGAGATGGAATTCGCAAGACAGGAAGAAGACTTGCAGAAAATAATGGTTTAAGAAAACCCGGAATCAGAACTTACTGTTCCTCGAAAAATCACAGTCTAATTCTATCAGTGTGGTTAGAAAAGCAGGATCCTTTGAAAAACAGCTTAATATTTTCTCTTTTAATGTTTGACATCTGCAAGGATCACCTGCTCTTTGCATGTTGCACAGTCACACAAAAAGTTAAATGGTACAGCGCAACATCGGCTTTGGCCAGCCAAATAAACATCTATTGTATCAACACTGTGCATAACATTGCACAGATTAAACTAGCGCCAAATCAAACAAAATATTCTTCCAGTTCTGTAGAGGATCAAGATGCAAACAAAAAGATTTTGATACTTCCATGGCTCTCCATTGGCACAGGAACCAGAAAGGAATATTCATTAGCTCTGACTATAAATGTTTGTCTTGTGTGGGAGGTCTTCGTATAGTAATATGTATTAGAAACTTGATATTTTTCCAATCAAGCCTTTCCACTTCCATTTACATATATTTAATTGTAAATATTCATTTTCCTACCTGAAGCACTTTAAATAAATGTACAATAAACACATTCTACACAGAAGGGAAGAGAATAACTTAGGGGACTTGTGACCAGTCCTAGAAGTGCTCCAGCCTCCACACGGCTGGTCGGGAGCAATGCAAGACGATCCCTCCTCACAGCTTGTGGGGGGTCTCGTAGACCGAGCTGGTGATCTCACCCTCATTTCTCCTGAACCGGGATCCTCCCCCCACAACCAATAAATCATAATTGACGCAAACTGGCATTTGTGCCAGCAGAAAAGGTGACGGCTGGCAAAGAGATGCCCTCTCACACACAGAAATGGATTTTTTCAGAGCACAACCAACTTCAGTTTGCAAGTTGAGTCAATATACACTTATCTTTTCCGAGCACCGAAACACGCAGGCAACAGAATTATACTCCAACTGCAGCTTTATTTAAAACAGAACCACGTAATGCATAGAAACTCTCAAATGAGATGTCATTTGACCTCAACTAAACAGTGCTGGTCTCCATGGTCAGCAGTGGCAGCTCTGCCTTTGCAGCGGCCAGGCGGCTGGGGGCCTGGAGCCAGCGCAGCTCTCCCCGAGAATTCCCTGGGTACGCGGCAGCTTTCAGCAGGCACAAACCCTCACCACTCACACACCGGGGCTACGGGCACACCTACCCAAGGAGCGCTTCTGTCCACTGCTGTCACCTAATGCGCAGCTGACGTAGGGTGCATTGCGAGTTCCTCAGATGTACGCTAAAGCCCCAGTTTGCAACAGAAAACTTTCCTTTTTTTTTTGTGTGTGTGTGTGTGTGTGTGTGTGTGTGTGTGTAATGGAAAGCACACTTTAGAAAAAGAGGAAGTTTTCCAGTCAGGATGCACTGATCGAAGACAACTGAAAGAAGGCTGGAAGCTATTCTTTCAAGTGGAGGTTATGAAACCAAATTGATAAAATGGGTAACTGTGTGAATAAACATGAAAAAAGCAAGATCTTATCAGCTGGTCCCACAGAAGATGTAAGTTAGGAAGAAGACAGAGGGTTTCCCATACTCAAACCACTCTTCGGGCATGATCCAGAGGCAGTAAGCTTCAAGCTAGAGTACAGGTAAGTACAAAGCTTTGTAAATTAGTCATACGTGAAGACTTTCCCCAAAGATATCCTGTACCGAATTAACCGACATCTTGAACATTACTGCAGTCATATTGACCTACTGCTACAGTACACATTAATGACTGAATAACATGAAATTGGTGAGTGTCGATTGTGAAAGATGCTAATAGACCTGGGCAGAAATGCACGTCCTTTGTACCACTTACCATGAGAAAGTGATACTTAATTACTACAGTTACATTAATAGCAAAATTAAAGTTTTATTTGCAAATTGTTGGATTCAAAGCCAAACTGAGAGAGGACAATGTTACTGTTGTTTTATGGGGCAATCTGGAAAACATTAAGAGATGACATCTTATGCTTCATCTTTACATTCATGTCAACTATGACTTAATTTTATGAATTGTTGTAGGGTACATTCATAAGGTGAAATTAAGATACCATTTACTTTAATACTGACCGATTGAAGTCAGAGGGACTACAGAAGTAAGAAAATACTTCTGGAGAATAAAACAAATAAAGCACCTCCTCTGAAAGTCACACAGAGGTTTTTCTGCATAGATTAAAACTTTTATCATGACAGATCATAAACTGTAAAGTAGTTTTTGTGTCTATCAGAAAATTCTCTTTTACCTGTGAATTCCATGTCTTATACATGAGGACAGATAGAACTCTTCTACTGCATTATTGGAGACTTATCAAAAACAGGATGCTTTTTTCTTGAGGAGATGAAAAGTACAGAGATAAGCAGGGAAATAAAGACTGACGTTTTAACCAATAATATTTTTGTGTGGTTATCAGAGGAATGTAATAATTAATCTTTTAATCATTCTGAAGATTGTGTGAAATCATAATATCTCATCTTTTCCAGCCTCAACCTGCCATTCTTGATCTGAATTACAAACAATAAGAAAGGAGATGATTTAATGAGCAACTTTGTCATGTTGCCATTTTGCCTTAGTCAAAGGCAAATGTCTAGTTTTGCCTCTAAACTGAAATGGAATAGACTTACGTTTCAACTATGCTCACAACTGAGGCAAACATGAATATAAAAGTTAGGGCTATTTTAAAGCTAGAACGCCAGTGTCCTCACATTTTGATAGCGACATAATTAAATACAGGCTGTTAAGAAGAGACGTTCATTTACTAGAAAATAAAATACACGTTGTGGAGAAACACACGTGTAAGAAAAGTCATCCAAAATTTGACAAATACTAAACTAAATCCAAAAAGAAAGATTTCAGTCACAATGGCAATAGGTACGTTCTAATTATGAATGAAAAAAATGTCAGCATGATTTAATCACACTCAATAAATAGGCACTTCAATAAAGTATATATTTACACTGGCTTTCTGAATGCTAGGGCATCACAAAGTAGTATGGCTTTATTACAATGGATGGAAGATGGCAACTACTTAGAACCCAGTGCCAACATGGATTATAACAAATCCAGTGAGTATTTTGTTTTTCAATTATTCATAGAAAATTTAATCCTGATTAAGTATCCTTGGGCAGGAATTCATGGGTAGTTGATGACTGAAACCAACATTTATTTGAAATGCTTCTGTTAATTTAATCTGTGTATATGGCTTAATTATGATTGAATCCTCAATGTAACAGAAATGAATTATATCAGGATTAAAATTCTAGTACCACATCACCCATTCCATTTTCTTTGCCTTTTTTTTTTTTTTTCTCCTCTTTAAAAGATGCAAGCCTGCTGTTTTAATTACCTTTATGTTCCTATGTCTTCTAAGCCTCAAATACTGTTTAGACCTTCATTACTGGAAGAAATTTTTAGTCACTTTTTTTTTTTTTAAAAAAAAGCAGATATAAACCCTATTTTCACTCCCATTAAAAATTTAACCAGTATGAACATTAGTTGCAAAAAAGGCTTTTCTTTTACGCCAATAATAAAGGAAAGTTTCTCTGTCAGTTGTGAACATTTTGCATGTGTTTTCTAGAGGATTCTCCCCCTCTTTTGTTTCCCCCTCTTTTATACTTATAAAATGCATTTTCTCTAAAGCATGAAAATAAAAGAACTTGTACTCATCGTTACGCATCACACCAATTTCACAACTGGCCTATTTCAGACTTGTTTGAGCTTGTAGATGTTTTAAGAACTGCATTTTATAAGACCTTCAAACCTAGTATTGATATAAAGTAAGGACTTTTTTTTGTGTCGGTGCGTGGAGAGAAAAGCTTCATTGTACTTTTCCATGATACAGCTCAGCACCACGTGCTACACATAAATAATATTTATAAAATTATGCAAATTATGGATTTTTCCACTCCGCAATACTTTTTAACATATTAATCTAGGGACTTTGTCAGACCAAAGGCCTCTGAAGTGCTCTGATATTATCACTCAGTTTTCCAGTGAAACCAATGTGTAACACACCTGTGACAAAAATACCTTTATATTTAAGTCATTATTGCACATTTATTACATAACGTATTCTTCCTAAACATCTCAGAAGTGATGTCGATTTTTATGTCCAGAGGATACTGTTAGTGGCAATGTCACTGATGACAGCGAAGATACTTCCCAATATAGACTATGAGATAGAAAAAGTCTGTAGAGGATAACCATGGAGATGCACTGACAGAGGATAACACCTATAGTAATAATCTAGAGACAAAAAAAAAAAAAAAAAGAGAAAAGGAAAAAGTGAAAAAAAAAAACCAAGCAAAAACCAACCCACAATAAACTTCTATAAGCATACTGTGTAAGTGCTTGAGGTTTAACTTTAAACCTTTTAATACTGCTGCTGTTACAAAAGATTTGAACTTGAATCTCAAGTCCAGGATTCAAACTCTCACACCTGGGTGTTTTTAAATCAGTAGATAGCCCTGGGCAAGTCACAGAACCCTTCTGGCAGTCTCTGTTCTGGGGAATTTCAGACTTGCAATTCACCACCCATGCAGTTTCACAAGCAGGGGTGATGTTTAGATATTCTATTCTTACAACAAACAGAGTGGGGAAAAAAAAAAAAGCCTGGAAACACTTTGCACTAGCACAATCATGGAGCTGTGAGGATAGCGATTTATCAGTCTCACTTAGCCAGACCTCTTTTCAGTGCAAGTCTCTTCATCTGTAAAAGAAGTGTAAGGCAGTATTTCTCAAATGCATAAAGGTAACTACTGTTTCTGAGAAAGCAAAAGTCTATGTTTATGTACAGAGAGTCTTTCAAAATACATGATAAATAAAATATATTTATTTCTTAAATAACTATGGTATTTATTGATCATGCTTTTCTTTATTGTACTGAACTACATTTAAAGAAGGAAACACAGCTAAATTATCATAATGTAGGAACTGCAGCTGCACACAATGGTTAAACTTGCACAAATGCAAGAGCAGAGCAACAGTACTCTCCCTTTAGTATGCTCGAAATCTCAAAATATTGCACAAATTTCTTTTACTGATCCTACCTCTAGAGATTACCTTCCTGTCCTGATGTTGTTTTCATCAAGCAACAACAAAAAAGTCTCTTCATTAGTAGCTCTAGAGGAGTCGTCTTTTCTCCCCAGGTTGTGGTTTGTTTTTTGGTTTTTTTTTTTGGGTTTTTTTTTTTTTTTTTTTTTAAAATCAAACATATTATTTAATTTACGATATATTTTTAGTGGAACCTTTTTCTTTCTCTTACATAGCCTCTACACAAATAAAAGCTCAATTTCTGAAAATATTTGCGTAGAAATGCACAGATGGTTATAATCACAAAGAAAAGCAGCAAACTTCCCTGGAATGAGGTAGTCAATCACCTGAGAATAGTAGTGCACTTTATCTGAACATGGCAGGCTCCACACACTAGTTCTCTACTTCCCAATATGTTTAAGCAACCAAGAAATCCCATGAGTCCACCTTTGTTTTTAACTGTTTAGAGCTTACACACCAAACTACCTATTTGGAAAGATTTTTTTTTTAATCTAAATACAGTTCAGCTACAGGTTCCCTGACCTATTTAGCCACATAAAGTTTTTAAAGGATGAAGACTAAAAAGCAAATAACAACAAAAAAAAATCCACTGATTTATCTTCTACTAGCTTTGTTAAAAGAATCCCCAAGGTGTTTTTAATTAAAAAACAAACAAGCAAACAATAAAACAGAACACCCCCTCCGCATTTTCCTTTGACTTAACAATCTCCCCCTCTCCCTCCCTTAACCAAGGGATGATTACCCTTAGATGATTCAAACCCTGTATGCCTTTGTAAAATATGACTCACATTAGCATCAATGAGAGCTGTGTGACTAAGACTTTTCAAGTTGCTTTGGGGTCATAAGATTAACAGCCTAAGAGCATGAGTTTGCTAACAAACACTGAACATGAAGAACAACTACTATTCAAATTCCATCTCTTTTATCTTGCCTGTACATACCTTTTCTCTTTGATATTCTCTGAATATTACAGCAATGGTTGCAAGACATGGGTGGCACAAAAACCAGAGAATGCAGGCCTAAAAGAGAATATAAGTTATAAAATGACTACATGCCAGCTTAGAAGAAAGAGATGACAGTTAGAGGAACTGCATTTACATTTTTGTCTATTTTATGAACCCATTGTTTAATTTTCAATCAACAGAACGAAAACCACACAATGAAAGGTGGGATTTCTTTTTTAAAAAAGCTCTATACTCCTTGTCAAATTAAAATGACTCCTCAGAGCATGATGACAGGGTGCAATTTAATCAAATCAGACAGTTAAACATTAACTTCCCTATGGAGGAAAAGAGTTTAGTGCTTCAGTCAACTGCATGCCACGATTATATTTACAGCAGAAGGGATCAGTTTCCTTGATGTAACCCATACTTTGGCAAAGGTGATATAGAACTCCCTTTTCAACGTGCTTCTTTCCACTGTAATGATCTGGTAAAGACCAGCAGCCAGTGACAAAGCAAGGCAAACTCTGAGGCCAATAAGCAATCCGCTTGCTAAACCATGGTGTGAATGGTAGCTGTGGTGATTTGTATCTTCAAATTGCTCCCAAATTAATAAAAAGCTCTGGAAAAGAACACAAACAGCAAAGTACATTTAGAGTAAACAAGGTTACACTAAACCTCAGTTAATCTTCCCATCACAGATTACATTATCCACACAACTGGCCATGCTCCACTCTGCTGGTTGGAGACTGCCATGTTACCCAAAAAAACCCCTAGCCTGAACTGCTTTTTGACACTACCTACTACTGCAAGTGCAACTGGCAGGAACAGAGTCTCACTTCTTGTGTTCTTTAACTTTTAGAAAGTTTTACAAGTTAAAGTTTCCTCTAATTTGGACAGAAGGAATGTGGCACCTTAGCATAAGATCCAAAATAATCATCTAGTTAAACAGTCAGCCTACTAAGCTGGAAGCCCACTGAAATGATTCCACAGAGCTACAGGGAGGTGTCTCCTTCCACTTGGGATCCACAACCTGTAAAGCTTGTTTCAAAGGCAGGCGACTACGCCTTTTCTTTCAAAATCCTAACAGGATTCACTTTTCTTTTCAAAGATGGGGAAGTAAGAGGGTGGTGCTGCTGCCCCTTTTATACAATAGCCTAAAGGCTCAAGCATTCACCCAGGTTGAACTTGGATCTCCCACAATTCCCTTCTTTGCCTAAAGGATATCCAACTCACATCTCCCACCTCCTTGGAGAGTGCCCCAACTGCCAGGCTATAGGCTGTTCTTGGGTGGGCCACTCTCCACCCCTTCTATTGAAGCTGTGCCATTGTGGAGAAAAGAATTCAACATCAGCTAGGTCAGAAACTGCAAGCGAGCCTGACTCTGCAAGCAACTGGCTCAGAAACCTCCTAGGGTCTAGGAAACGGAGCATCACAGGTTCCAAATGCCATTCCAACATCTGGACAAGTGCTCTAGCCAACAGATAATTACATGAAAGATAGCAATCCTCCTTAACTCTCAGCACTGTATTCATTTGCTGCAGAATCCAATTTTGTAGGAGCACTGGGAGAAAGAATATTGATAGATTCTCTAAGGAAAAACAGACTAAGAAATGCCTAGTTTCTGGATCTGAGTTGGGTAGAAGGCAGGTGCCTACTTGTTGCATAAAAAATGGGTCTTGCTGAAGAATACCTTTTTAAGACTTTGGGAATCTTAACGTTAATAAATTAGAATACCCGTAAAGTTTAGACTCTCCCAGCATCATGTAGCAGCTGAATGGCATTTTAAGAACTTAATATACAGTGGAATCCAGTCCACCTACTGTGCACTTAGGTTTCAGGTGCCTAATGAAGCAGGCTTTCTGAAGAAAGGTAGGCAAATTTGATTTATATGAGTGAGGTAGCTCTGAAGGCCTTCAGAAGCAGACATTGTATGCCTCAATTTAGAAATCTAAACTAGTCAGATTCCTTTCTGAACACATTCAAAGGCTCTCTCACTACACTAACTACATAAAGACAAAAAGGTTACTGACATTAACTTAAAAAAAAAAAAAGTGTAATCCACCTGTGCCTTCCAAAGCTGGGTGTCCTTGAGTCTCATCAGTTGAGACAGGATCATTTTCACTTAGAATATCCTCAGAGAGTACTCTCATGCTTTTCCCCTCCCTTATCTAGGCCATGACACAGCAAGCACGACTGCTGTCATTTCAGTTGCTCCTCAACTACCTGGACGGAAAATGGAAGGATGGGAGAGGGGCAGACGTGAAGCATGCATGTCTTGAACATCACCGATTACTAGCAAACAATCTGACCAACAGGCTTCAAAAGTTCCCACCACAACACACTATTTCCGAGTAACTCCAAGCAAACACCTTCAAATGATCAAATTACTTAACTGAGAGTTCTGTCAAGGAGTAAGACTGAAATAAGACTAAATGGCTCCTGAAACCCTGAGATACAGCACAGTGTTTGGTAAAGTTGTGTCTATAGCGCTAGTTTTGGTATGAAATTGATGAATTCCTATCACAGAAGTTATTTCAGTACAGGTAGAACATGCTCAGGCAACAAACAAGGGCTCTACCAGTTACAGAATCACTGCAGTCTTGTACAGAGCATTTGCCCTTGCGATATTTACACTTGGGAGTAGCCCAAGTATTTAACTTCCCTGGACTGGACATGCACTATCTGAGAAAATAAAAAAACCAGCCACCTCCTGTGTATAGAATCTTCCTGATCTAAAGCATGCATCTGGGGAGAAGGCTGATGAAGAGGGAACTGTGATACTGTTTTTCGAAGAAACTTTAGGTAGACCCCAAGGATAGCTTAAATTTAAAGAACAGAGTTCATGAGGGTTTGGATTTTCCTTAACCTACACCAACAGTAACAGCAATGAAGGAAAGTCACTTTCATGAGAAGATGACAAAGATCTAGAGTAAAGGAATCATGAGAACAAAGTCCAAATCCTCATGGGAAAATAGTGTCTGACAGCAGGGTATGCTCTGGACTAGCCCTTTAAAGAGTATAAACAATGCAGGAATCAGTTGATCAAAGACTGTATGTAGTGACAGCAATGCAAGATCAGAGAAGTCCAGCTTCCTTCAGTTTCATTAGATTATTCCAGAATAAGTAGAAGGCCGAGGCATTAGAGGCACAAATGGAACCATCAGTGCAACACACGGGAAGCTGAGACAAGTTGAACTTGTGTCGTTACTCTTACTATGAGCTGGGGCTGTTCTCACTTACCAGAGAAAAGCAGGATCCTATAAAAGAGAAATCTATGCTGTGGAGTGTTTCTAGGTTACAATGGATTAGGCAGTCTGTTCTCAGTGAAGGAAGAGAGCTTTCATAGACAACCATGATTTTGAAGTCAAGATCTTTTTGGCTGGCTGTGCCAGAAATTAAGGTAAATAAGCCCTGAGGTTCCTTACTTTGACCACAGAAGGCACATATCAGCTCACCTAGCTGCAATATCAGGAACGAGCTGAAAAAACACCCAGACACCAATCTGCTGAAATGGATATCACTGTTTTCTGTTGGCTGTGAGCAGAACTATGAGCTCTAAGAAGAAATTGGGGGGAAATTCTAATTGTTATTGAGAACAGCAGCTCTGCTTAGGCTGTAGACAAAAGAACTGAATGAGCTAGGTAGCTGAAGAGCCGACTCGTGGTAGCTATGTTCAACATTAAAGTCACAACTGTTTCTTCCTAAAGTAAAGGAGAATGACCATCTCCTTTTTTACATAATACGCTGCTCAAAATGCCTGACTTCACCTGCACATACTTCTGATCTATCTTGGTTCACAGTGGACATCAACCACTGTCCAGTACCGATCTTCCTCTTCAAATGTTACAAGAATGTTTGCCACGGACCTCATCCTGATGTTCCAGATATACAAGTTGAACCTCCACATCCATACAATGAAGAACCAGACACTCTTTTTTTCACATGATGAAACCATTATAGTAGAACCCCTCCTCCCCTGCGCTTTGCCGACACTGACTTTATGGCAAGCCAAGATAACATATCAATCTCCAGTAAAGGCAGATTCTCATGGGACAGATCATCTCTGAGAGGCAAGGGGAAGAAAAAGGGAAATTAAAAGTAGCAGTAAGGCAAAGTGGATTAACTAGTGCTTCTAACCATATCTAGTACTTGGATATCTGATGTCATGTAATGCCAGTACAGTAAAAAATGGTTTAGATCTAAGGTCAAAGGTAGAGCTCATTCTGAGCACACCTTTGGGGTGTACCTAAGAACCTCTGTGAAGCATGATGTCTAATGCAGTAAGACTATGTCATTTTGGTCAGGTTCAAAGTGATGAACTATCTTTCTATAATCATTGCCTCCATTCTGATCAGCCCTGAAAGCTCAAACTGCTCAGGTCTATGTGATGCGAAAGGCCTGACATCAATAAAGTTTTGAACAAGGTTTGTGTGTCAGCTGCAGAGAGTGGAATCTTTAATGAATAGAGCAGCCTGGGAATCTTTTGTTCTGAGGCTGAAATAAAGAACAAGTTAAGGCAAAGGGAGATGCTGAATGGCAGACTTGTCCCTCCTTTGAGATGCTACCTCTTTGCAGCCGCAAAGACCACAAGAGATTTGCTGACTACGAGGCTGTGTCCACCCTACACTGATGGTAACCTGTAAATACAGCCTGGGAAATTGCTGGTGTTTCTGAAAGAACAAAAAGAATCCATAGCATCAGTACAAAGAGGAGAAAAAACCCTGAAAATTTGCTGAGTAATCTGAACTTGTAGCAGGCAAACAAGGTTAGATAGTTTGCCAGTCAAACCTGTAGCTCAGTTGAAGAATAACATGTTTTCCCAGGATGTCCACTTGTTTGACTTCCCTGAAGATGAGACGAGGACAGGTAGTGTAGAACGTCAATAAAACTAACATGGTTCAATCTTTAGCTGCTGCGTTAGGGCAATGCATGTGATTTCCAGCACCCTTCACAGCAAGTCCTCAGAACATCTCTGATTATCCATGTAAGCCTGTCCAACCTCTGCCATGGGAGGAAGTTGGCTCTCCCATAAGAATCTCTGGGAAAGAACAGGACAGAAAGGAGGTTACTCTAGGTTTTTAATCATTAAAAATGCTCATTGACTGCCCTATTACTGTAGGTCCAACACCCACATCAATCTAGACAGACCAGTGAACAACAGACTAATCCAGAGAATTAAGAACCTTTGATAGAGATGATGCAGTCTGGATCCTGCTCCCCCGAGCTGGGGAGCCACAGTCTGTATTAATGAGAAGAAATCTGGCAGAAGGTGTATTTTGTATGTACTCAACCATGAGATGGAAAACATCCTCTCCAGAAGGGGCAAGGACACTTGGTGTCAGGGAACATTCGCTGCAGACAGTAGACCCTGAGACAGGGATGCAAAACCACCCAGGCAATAACAGACTCTGATATCCATATTCTGTTCCTACAAGACTCTTGCCAAACCTGACATTTGCAACGGTACCAGGAGGAGAGATGTGGTACAACTGTGCCTTTGTTGCGACAAGTAAGATGCCAACTGTACCAATGCTCCAGAGGTGCTCAAAGAGCCAACACAAATGTGTAATGGACCAGTACTGGGGAAAGCAGCATCTATGTATGATACCTGCCCTAATTTTTACCACAAGTAACAAATGAAAAAAGATGAAGCTGATGATACTGCGTGTCCTTTCTATGTGTAGTTAAAAGGAAACAACAACAAACTTTCCAGTCTCAAGTGACAGAGCACTAACACACCCAAATGTATGTGCAAGTAGAGAAGCATGAATAAAATTAAATACTTTAGAAGTCTTCTTTACTACCAGCATGTAAAAATTCTGGTCCTAGATGGGCGTCAAAGTAAGGTGGAATGAACCTGTCCTTAAGTTTCAACAGTCCCATTGACCTTAATAGCCTTTGGTTTATATTCTTAATTAGCAAGAAATGTCAGCTCCCAGCTACTCTTAATGTTTTAGCAGTCCACTTACTTAGTTTGGAAGCAACACTAATTACAGATACTACTCAAATGACACAAAATTTTCACTATAATCTCTTTCTCATTACTGTCTCCAGTTTCTCCCTGCTCTTCTCTTTCTCAATGACGTTCAGATTCTTTTGTCTTTATGTTGTGATTTTAAAAAATTTGTTTACAAAAGGCACCACTGGGGTTGGATGATCTCCATTACAGTTTACTTTTAAGTTACAGGTTTACTTGACTTTCTAATTTATACTAATGGAAAATATTTGAATGAAACTACGTGTCAGACTATTTGTATATTTGCAAGACCAATCCTGCACATGAACCTTTCCAGAATTTCCTTATATTGATTGAAAAGACCATAAGACATCCTATTTGAGTGGTTCTAAAAGGAGGACACCAAGGATTTCAATTTTTTGGATGACAAAGAATTTCTCACAGTAGTTTTTCTTCATCTTTCCCCGCATGCTGTGTGTTGTCAGCCCCCACAATGTAGTTCACAACCCCTCAGTTGTACTGATTACAACTATTTATAGGTCCACATTGTAAATTAGATCAGTAAAATGACTGTGCTGAAGTCACTCCCCCCCCACCTTTTTTTTTTTTTTTCAGTCTAGATCATTCCACTCATCTGGTTTACAGTATAATGCTACAAACAATTGGCCCAACCATGAGTTTGGAAAACTGTGGGAACTTCTTAAGTGGTTTTACTGCTGAACAAAAACATACTGTGGAGCTACACCTTAAATTGTTGAAGTAAAGAGAAGGTGTTGTTACCTATTAGACATACTGGGTGCACATTATGCTGCGGGTTTTGGTTTTTTTTTTTTTTCCAGTCTTGATACTCCCTCCCTCATAAAATATTGAAATTAGTTGGTTCACAGTTCTGTCATACTTAATAGCAGCTGTATATTTCAGTATAAGAATGAATATAAAATACAAACCTGTGTAACAACAACTACTACAGCAATGCCAGTAGATGTTGGAGTGGAATCCCACTGAAGAGGTCTGCCTTGAGATTTCTTCATTCTGCCTATCGTCCAGCCCATACACAGACTCAACAATAAATACAGCATTTGTATCTGTGAGACTATGTCACACACTATTGAAAACAGAAGAAAAAGAAATAGAGTCACAACAAAAATAGTTTTTTCTAAAGCAAAGAGAAATGTTCTATATACCCACAAATGAAGGATGGACATTTACACCTCTGTATCACCATTAGTCACAATTTTCATGATAGTTTGCCTTGCTGCAGTTGCTTTGCTGTTTTGGCTAGTTTCCAGTGACCAAACAGATCACTATCAGCTTTCCTCTAGTTATGCTGCAGTTCTGCAACAACACAGGCACAGCACCACATCCTTCCAAATCCCACTCTTGTGTCAAAGAAGTCTGGGCTCAGGAGTCCATCTGCATAGACTTACGAATGCTAAAGTACTAAAATCATATGTATGTTAATCAGACTTCAAATATGAAACACGATGAAATGAATTCCTTTCTTTGCTATGAAAAACTTTTGTTCAAAAATCAGGTAGTTGCATTGTACTTTAATTTAATTGCGTTTTGTCTTAAGGATGCAGTAGCTTGCAACAGAAAGCACAAATATTTAGGACAAATTCCACTCTCAGATACTTAAAGGGGAAAGTATAATTAATAACCCTAACACAAGCTTCATTTGGAGCAACAGCTTGCTTGTATTTCATTTTATTAAATGCAAAACTACCTTTGCCTCATTTGGCTATGTCTATTTTTTTCTGTTTGGGAACAATTAACACATACTCCATAAAGTTACATTTTTAATCAGCGTCTCAAACCTGTGTTTGAAGCTGTATCTAAATAAAGAAAACTTTAAGCTAGAATATATTACAGCCTTTACTTGTTAGCCTCATTGAAGTACTACTGATTGTAGAAAGAGCTGAAGATTTCTTTCTGGGTGATTGTTAGCTTTAGACATAAGTTTCTGACTGAAATTTATAAAGCAATTTTTAAGTTGGTGTTCAGACTTGAGAGTAAACTAGCTCATTTTACTGGCGTAGCAGAAATGTACAAGAAAAACTGATTCTTTTATTATGTAAATTGCAAATTCGGTTCAGAAACTGGAGATCAGGCACTACACACAATAATGCTCTCTTTTTCACTTGATTAATATTTTAGTTCAATTAAATTTGTTACGTAAGTGTAATTTTCACTTACACTATCAGATACAAGAAAAGTACTTCTATGTCACAAAAGCAAACTTCTATTTTGATACAACTAGACTGTATTATAAAAGAGAAATGTTGATCCACATTTACTAAAAATATTGGCACAGAAAATGTTGTCACTGTACAGAGATTAATATGCACACAAGGGAAGTGTGTCAAATGAAGACCAGCTACAATACTTACCTGACACTCAATAATATTAGCAAAATATGTATATAAAACAGACTTCAAAATGTTATTCCTGGGATGTATTTGGTATTCTTGCAGTTTATATGCTTAAATGCTTCTTAGTATATTCAGATACCTTTGCTGTTTAAGAAATGTTAAGAGCTTTTAGTAAATACAAAACTGCTTGTTCTTTAATAAAATGAACTGGTACTTATTTATTTTGGGCAAAATGATCTTGACATTATTTTACAATGCTAGTTATGGAGACATAGCACTTGCTAGAAAAAATTGTTACATGAACCCAAGGCATGCCAAACCAGCACCACAAATCCAAGCTAGAGAAATGACTGATGTTCTAGAGAGCATTTTATTTTCCATCACTCCTTAAGATAACCCACACTATAAGTTATAGCTAGACATCATCTCTCAATTACATCTCCGATATAGATATTGCTCTGCTTCAGTGTGGGAACAATTCAACTGGGTTCCCAGACAAAATGGCCTAAGACAACAATTCAGTATCGGCTTTAATCTTTGACATCTCATATACCTTCCCAAAAAGTAAGAAGGTTGAGAGAAATTTCTAACATTACAATAATCCCACAACATCCAGGGTCAGTGTAAAGTCACATGCTACTGAGCTGATACCATATTTGGCTGATTTCATCACAAATCAGCTTTTTGGCTGTTCAACAGGCATAGTAATATTCTTTGACTTGTCAAATTTCAATCTTACCAAAAGTTAAAAGATCATTATTTGTGATGCTTTTGAGTGCCAGCATTATTTGTGTGATTTATGTGGTTAACTTAGGCGATAAACTATATTGAGAGTCAGGTCTTTATACACAGTAAAGACTAAATGACGATAGGAAAAGAATAATTCCTTGGGATAGTATCTGAACAGGTTTCTAGAAAGAAATTCTGGCCCCACTCCAGTCAAAAGAAATTTTACCATTTATTTTTAACTCAGATTTATGTTCTGATATAGGTAAAATGGTAGCACCTTCCATCTTCAAACTATATTACTTGCTATCAGTGGTTGTTCAGAATTGTAATTGACACTGAAGCTTTCCAGTTTTCTATTATTTGTGCTCTTTTACTGTTTTGGGAACGACAAACCTTAAAAACAGTAGGAAAGGAAAAAAATTCTTAAATTCAGTTATTGACTCAAAAATATTATTTTATTCTTATAACCATTGCTTCAAGCAAATAAGAGTGGGCTCTTCACTACAATACATACACAGAAAATCTAATATGCAGCTACTCTCTCTGAAGTTCTGGCTGGGTAGGAGTTATGACTATCTCCATATTCCTTATTTAATTTCACTTCAGGAGACGAGAGGGAAAGTTTAATAATACAGTGGCTGGAGAGGCTGCAAGAAGCTGCTAACTCAAATGGTTAAAACAAGAAAGAGGCAATTACTGTGGTGCCAAGTGCCATCAAGAGGCTGCTAATTCCAACTGCAAGCTTCTAAAAACTGGGAAGGGAAATATTTTTCTATATAGGCTGTTACTCTCCAATGATATCTCACTGCCATAGTACTACTTTCTTGAGGTGCTTTAAGCCAATGAAAAGGCAATATATTTGCTTAGAAAGAACCCCCCAATGCTTCAAATGTAAACTACAGAAAAAAACCCAACAACAATGTTTAACCCTGAAGAACCCAGCTGGAATAAATTATCGCATTTTGGGAAAGGATGGTCTAGGAATTCAGTTCCAGTGAGAACTCAGAATATCTATTCAGAATGGAGAAAAATGCTTTGTTAACATAAATTCTTTACATAAGCATTTTTTGCATCTCTCTAATCGTATCACTTATGCTGTAAAACACTTAACTGTTTCATTATAACCAATGTTAAATTGCTAGTGAAATGATGCACTCCATAAAATGAGATTAAGTTTCCTAAAAAAGCTTTGCTCCTCCAAATCATACAAACTCTGCAAAACTCTTCAATGTATTGAAACATTTACTCATGTGACAGACATGTATTTAAGAGTTTGTAGGAAGTAATCTTCAGACAAGAAAATCCTTTAAAAAATCCTAAACAATATCACAATTGTATAACTTCAAATACAGTTATTGTAAACATCCAGAATAAAACCTGTTTTTCAGAAGAGCGACTTTTAGTATTTTATATTAAAAAAAAATCCAATTACATGGTCCAAGATCATAATACAGTCCCAACAAGAGCATTCGCTAATGCATTATACAGATTAATGCGTAGGAATATGTAAGAAACATTAGACAAGCATACTCACATTCTGCCAGACTTCCCATAAAAGGTGCTCCTATTCCATCTTTAGAATAACTGATAAAGGAATAAAAAGATGATACTTATAAGTAATTGAGTCTTAAATGTGTCTTCTCTCTTAAAAGTACATTTAGGCAATGATGTAGTTCAAAAAGTCAGTCCTATGTATCGTCACAATCACACCAGGAAATATCACGTACTGATCTTTACAACACAACGTTCTTCAAGTCTTAAGACTGAAAGCAAAAATAAGCAAAGATACCTTGAGAAATGCAGGTAGTTGGCAAAAGCTGAACCAGCCTGCAACAGTAATGCAATTGTCAACACCTTTAATACAGTATGCATAGGTCCACGCTTCTTAATTGTTTGCCATAGGGACTGTGCATATATGCAAGCAGTTACAAAGTATGCTAGGACAAGCAGGAAAAAGAACTCATGTAATCCTGTGAAAAAAAAAACCAAAAATACAGCTTAGTTTTTATAAAGAAACATTGCTACTAGCAGTAAACAACTAAAACAAAATATATTTTTTATGTAGTGACTGGGAAATACTTAGTAACTGTCACCCAAAAGTGATAGTACAGATGCAATGAGTAAATCTTAGCCTATTTTATCCAAGAAAGTCAGAGTTTTTTTCATACAGCTGGTTATTACAAAGTATTTTTTTATTCAACAATACTTTTTCTGAGTGTAGGAGAGATTCTGTTCAAATACAAAAAGCTTTGTAGCAATTACTGAAATAGTATGAAGTGGCATACAGTTTCTTGATAAGCAAAAAATAATTGTAGCCCATTTGATCAATCAGAAACATATTCATTAAAGGACTCATTTTTAGCTTTTTTTTTTTTCTTCCGTTTTTAAAGGCACAATCTGAGATGACAGAGACCCAGAAATAGGTCCTGTTGAAACTATTTCACCACTGGGTGTCACTGTTCCCCCACATAAAGGAGTTAGTCCAAGAAGCACAGTTGACCAAGACAGAAAACTTTTAGATAAAGAAAAATAGCACAGAAAACAATAATAAGTTCATAGAGTGGATTTTTTTTGCACCAATCTGAAAAAATGCCCAAAGTTTTTGATATTATTTACAAACACGAAGTCCTCTAACTTTCAGTCTGGCACTAGTCTGGTAAAATGCTTCCCTAAAGACCTGGATCCTGGAAATGTTCTCTATTGTCTGGAAACTTTGGAACCCATCATATGAGCACCCAAAGGGTCAAAGCCAGTAAGGTATAAGCAAAAATGGGTAAACAGATGTTTCTCACAGAAAACTTATGTTTTCCTTTTCCAACCTTCCTTGAAACAAAGTGGTGCCCACAGAATCATATTCTGAACAATGTCTTTCTTCCAGCAGGAAAACAACTCTGTTAAAAACTTCCAACGAGCTCCACCCAGAGATTAAAAACAGAGCAATTATACACATTTCAATATCTAAGTTGAAAAACGTTAGAACTGGATGAGTTTTGAATAGTTGCTTGTACTATAACTTCTATGGCTAAAATTAATCGTTTCGGACATATATACAATGAAATGTGAGACAAGGAGCATAAGGTAATAAAGGCTCATAAAACAAAAGTTTCAGGGCCCCTCTGCTTCCCTTGTATACCTATACAAAACCCTGATTTATGAATGACAAAAAATGCATTTTAGATCAAATCTCTCATTCTTTCTTTCACTCTTTATCTTTCTACTTCAAAAGACATCCACTTTAGTTGGCAAGGATTCTGTAGGTAAGTTATTTCTTACCATGATGAATGGGTACACATGGAAAACTCGCATTAGGAAAATGAACTAGCTTTTAATAAACACTAAACATTTAGGATAGAAAGTTTCTTCCAAAGACAGATTGTGGATGATTGGCTTGAGACCAAAAGGACTGAAGAGAAAGTTGCACTGAAATATAACTACAAAACCCAGGGTAACTTTCAACTTGTCATTTTTAAGTTTCCCGTAACTTAATTTTTCTTTTTTAACTTTCACGTAACCTAGAGTTGACAGAGAAAATAAAACATATGCACCTTAATTTGAAATACCTAACTTGAAAGATCTTCAAAATGCTGTCTACCTGGTCAGATACCCCTGGAAAACCTAGATTCCAGTGGTACCATGTCTTAACTAAAAAACCCCTACCATAGAAAATGATAAGAGATTACTTGGCAGGGATCAGAAGCCAGGCCTCCTCTCAAGGCAAACATCTTAATCACAAGGTTACAGTTTGAAGTTCTTTCCTATACCGAGTTCTTTCCTATACTCTCCTTATAGTCCATTTAATTTTGAGATCTCCTATGTCAGGCCACAACTTTAGTAACTAAAATGAAGGATGACCTAACCAGAACCATGTGTAACTATGTAGTTTTTAGTCGCCTCAATGAAAGAGCCAAGGAATGAAGCTGGATCTTCTCTCTGATACCCTGATGTTCTAAGCTGCATGGCTCTACCGAAAAATTACAAACATTATTCCCCAAAGATACTTTAAATTAAAAAAAAAAAAAGAGAGCAAGATATGAAATCATCCTCAGTTCTTTCAAAGTAGACACAGGCATGTAACTTCATGATTCATGGCAGTGATACAGGTTTTAATTCTGAATAACCAGAGGTGCTCCTGTGCAACTGCGGAAGACGTGGCACACACAGCTTATGCTGTTAGATCTAAATCTAACAGATTTACACACCTCCTTACTCAGCAGGCAAGCTGTTCAGAGTTCTGCTTCCAAGTGCTCAAAGTCTTCCTACAAAACTAATATAGAGCTGAGATGCCTCTCTAGGAGGTCTGTACACCACTTTCAAGGGCCACATGGTGTCTTATAGTTGCTTTGCCCCTTGATTTAGCAAAAGAATACTACTACTGCTTTTTGAGAGTAAGTAAATTAACCTAGAATTCACTTCTGGATACAAAATTCACCAAATAAAAACTGCCAACTAAGTTTGTAGACTAAGAAGCACGGCTAAGAAGTTAAACAGACAGGTAAGTCAATTTATAAGCCATGAAAAACAGATGATTAACAGTGCTACTTTCTTACACATTCTGCTACATGTTTCAGTGAATATTTCCTTCCCTTCAAAAAGGGAGCTGCCCTTGTTCCCTTTATAACTCCTTGAGAGCAAGAATGACATCAGGGCATATTATTCTGAGCATAGCTATTAGGCTCATTCAGGGAATGTAGGTTAAATCTGTATATGAAGGCAGATTAAGCCTATTGGGCTCTTTCCTTACAACAGGCATAGGTTAGTGACATATTGATGAGGCCTCACAGAGCAGTGAAGCTCAACACTGTAATGAAGCACACATTACATTGGTTTAGATTGTCCAAAGCATACAATTTTATATAGGCATTTCTTTAGCTGCTGTCTTGAATCACTTCTAGAAGTTTTTCTTTGCACGTCTAAAGATTTAAAATTGCGTTACTTTAATAAAATAAAATCAGGACTGACAAGTATCTAATCTGTGGCCTGTGACTAAGATACTTAGAAAGACCTTAACATTAAACTGAAATTGTACAGGCAACATGTTTTATCATGCATGTACTTGTGTTGCACAGAATCAAAATTTTCACAGCTACGGAACTGCATAAATTCATTAAAATCAGGGATTAAAGTCACATTCAAGTGGAAGCTTACAATTTCAACGTGGGAAAAATGCCTATCAGCAAAGATGTTAACACTAACTTTACTTGTGCATCTATACTTCCAGTTAGGCAAGTTTTGGAAAGTCAGTCTAAAGAAAGGGAAGGATTTTTCTGTAATGCCAGAAAATGAATTAAAGTTTACCCTCCATGAAAAAGTAGAATACAAAATATAAGAAACTCTGCTATCTATTCCCCGAACTTTTCCAAGCAAAGCAAATACTGGTTTGTTTGGGTGATCAGATCCTTAACTTACAAATCTAATTTTAAGAAAAAAAATCTTACCAGATTCCCCTGCGCTAAAGTGATCTAATGGATTCCCTTCTGCATCTGGGTTTAGTAAGACCATTTCAAACTGAATATCCTCGGATTCAGAATAATTCTCCTCGCAGGTAAACTTGTCTACATAAAACACATACCATGTTTCCGGATAAGGAACCTGTGAGACTGTCAGATTTTGCTCTGTGTGGTTCACAGTCACTTTGGAAGAAAACAGACAAGCAAAAAACCAAGTAAGTACTTGATTAGTTTGTTTTTAGATAACTCATCTTTGAATTAAGATAAAATTTAAATCTACAACATCATATACAGGTTATAAACTACATACAGTACAAAGCAGTCTTTGATTTGAAAGCTAGCCATAACACCACAGACCAGACTTCCAACTTCATCTTTTGTTTCAAATAGGTGCAGGCAAGGGTTGGTGAGGATATGTAGTGCATTCTATCTCTCAGCTTCTGGGTTTGCTGTGAGGGCTCCCTTCTGCCAGAAGCCAGTAACTGAAAACCATGTCTCGCATGCTTAGCACATTTCCATCCTCTAGTACAGTACTGATAGGACTAGCTATTCTATATTCTAGCTATATTAGCCAACAGATACTTCTGCAGTATGAAAAATACCTTTGTGAAATTTATCCCACTCTGTTTTCAAAGATATTTAGAGCACCAAACAGTAACAGCCACACGTAAGCTCAGTAAACAACATGCTTTAAAGGTACAACTTAGCATATTATTACAGCATCTTGCCCAAACCATAATAAACTGAATTTCAATTGACAGCTACTGGCTTAGACCATTGTCCAATAAAATTGCATATTTCAAATCAGATTACATTTAAAACCAACTACGTAAGAGACTGATTTTTCATCTGCTCACTGATCTTACCACTGTTTTTCCTAAAAGCATTGGTTAACCAAGCACAATCTCCCCAAAATAAAAATTTGCTGTGGCTCTGTATGTTCGGTGAAACTGCGAGAATTCTAAATACGGTTACACTGATTACTGAACTCGAGCGCTAATCAGCTCAACCATAAACAAAAGCCATCTCTGGAGAAGAAATAACAATATAATGACTGGACTGTAGATTAATATACCTTAATAGTTCAAGACGACAATGGTTAAGGATGAGAAAAGAGAAAAATTTCATTAAAAAAAATAATCTACAAAACATTTTGGTTTTTTTTTTATGCAAAGGCCTTTCTAAATGAAAAAGCTGCAAACATACATACAAAACAATCCTTAGCAAACTCATTATATAAATTTTGTACACAAAATTTAGAACTGATTTCTAACTTGAAGCCTACCTGTGAAAAAGATTGATATAATTTTAATAAACTTGTTTCTACTTTCTACCTCAATAAGTTATTTTATCTGTTCTTTGAAGGCATGAGCTGATCAACATTAGGATCCATGCAAAAAACATATTATGTGTTTCTTTGCAGCAATTGTCATGAAGTACAAATTACGACAACACATTAACCAGAACACAAAAGTGTTCCAACACAGGCAATTTGTTTTGTGTAGCTATGGCAAGCATGTATTCCACCCTAGAACGGAAGATATGTTATCAATCAAATACACAAAGTGAGACAGCTCCCTTCAAAAATACCAGGATTTTTTAAAAACACAGATCTAGGATTTCATCCAGTGCTTAATCAAACAAAAAGCAAACTGCAGCTGGCAGGGGCAGCTTTACTTTCTACCTCGACTCTCAACTGAGTTCTGCCATGTTATTTGCACAGCTCACAGGAAATGAAGTAAGATAAAATAGAGATGTAATTGATTTTGCCCAAGATCAGCAAACAGATCCAACTCATTCTGAGGACATAGGATTCCTAAACACAGTAGAAAACAGTGAGTACACTGCTGGGACAGACAGGAGTGATGGACCAACTGCTAGTCATTTCAGCAGCACGTCATGTTCAGCTCAGATCAAGTGTAAGGGAACTACATCCCTAGAAGGGACATCTGTTTAAGACTTCATTATGACAATGTTCTCAGAGATCAAGTTGTTACTCTAGGGATTCTGTCCACACAGAGGAAATGTATTTAAAAAAGAAGCTGTATTCACTTAAGATATATTTGAATGAAGTTTCTAACACTAACTTAATTTCTTAAAGGAGAATTTATGCTTTAAGTAGGTTTTGTAATATTACGATCAATAAATGGTGCAAAACCTATTATTTCAGTATGTTTGTCTTCCAGTTACATAATGAAATATTTCAGTGTTTTACTGTTCCTGTTCTTTTAAATTTAGATGGATACTCAAGTTATGCTTTATCCTGATTAACTCATCTTCGACACTGTACTAAAAATATTCTAACGTGTTTTGTACATCAAAGTGTGACAGGTTTGTGCTATCATGAAAATATTTTATATTTTTGTTTTCTTGTGTTTGAAAAATGTCATTTCTGTGGAATTGGAGAACAAGAGTCTCTTGACAAATGAGAAGTGTTCCTCCATAAACAAGACAACAAGTTAACCTGTATATTTTGTACTGGTATAATTATCAGCTCAAATATTAAAAACTTTTGAACGGGAGATTCAGTGATGAATACCAAATTACAAAATTAAAGGGTGAAAGAACATTAAATGATAATGGAGCCAAGTTATAAAGTAAGGCAGCATAACCCAGATTAATTTTTGCAGATGACCTTACAGACCAGCAGGGCAGAGGGGAAGCTAATGATTATGAGGTTGTAAAAGAAAAAAAGAGCACAGAAAAATGGTTTTAAGATACAAAATTATGCTTTTACTGTGTACTTGGGCTACATACTCCCACCTTACAATCATTCACTTCAGAAGTTCAGAGGTAACTGCAGCAGGCTGCATCAGTTTGCCTCTAGTTTTGGGTTTGTTTTTTTTTTCATTTCACTGCAGTAAAAGTCACAATTCAAACTGTACATTTGACTGTCTCAAACTTTTACATTCTCTAAATTTTTCAGTTTTGTCTTGCTATGACATTCTTTGTAAATACTTTCACATACTCAACATGATCTTTTTTTATGGAAAAGTTTGAGATAAAAAGAAAATAAAAGAAGACTTTTACTCCAAGCAGAGTTAAAGAAAATCTCTGTACTGAATAAGTAAATGAAGACTTCAGCCAAACGTGTATCCTCTCTGAGTTGTGTACAAGTGAAAGCATGAGACTAGAACTAGTCATAAAGTTTGGCTGTTTGCATTAAAGTAATTATTTGTCAAGGATTGTACATTTTCCATCAGTATACTAAATCATAGCTCTCAAAGTCTTCTGAAGTGATGCAAACAAAGCAATTACATTTCCTTGTAATCATTTTTAATTACAGAAGGCCGAAGTCCTTCTTTTACTTAAGTTGATGCAAAGTCCAAATTCACTGAAATAAATATTCTAAATACACAGATAACTCACAGGGTTCTAAATACACATATAACTTAATTTGTAAAGAAAAAAAAGTAGTAACTCACTTGTCAGCTGAGCTTTAGAGAACGTCTCTGTACAGCTGTGATCTTGGATACTGTTCTGCAGCTTCTGCCATTCCTGTGCTTGAAACAGGTGAAGTCTAGCTTCTTTTGTCACAGCTACTGCTACATTCTTGATTCTGACACACAGAACAGCATGGTCACCTTGATATTTAAAAAATAAAATCAACTACTCTGCCTTGATGTCAGTTATGAACAAAAAGCTAGTGTGGCATAGATTTTTGATAAGTAGCAGTACTAAAGCTTCACTTTATTTCTTAAACTTTTACCACTACCTTCCATAAAGGTCTTTACACTCTT